AATTGGAGTATTTATCTTTCAAAACAGTAAGCTATACACGTACTTACTTTACAATTACGTGGAGTTCCATGTGACCTCTAATCTTTAACTGTCTCCTCTAGACGAAAATTTACCGCGAGCGCCAAAAGATTGCAGCATAGGCACTGTCTAGGATGTCATTTTTACAGCCCCTGCCTGAGACTTCACTTCATGCACCACCTCACACCAATCGTTGCACTTTCCCCGGCAGTGCAACACAAATTTTAACTCAACCAGTTATGACTCTACTTTCGGAACTACTTCCTAACTCGCCTTTAACTCGAGTATTTAAACCTTTTCTGTAGCTTTCATATTTCTTTATTGATAAAGAAAAAGCATGAAAGAAATAATATTAATAAAAATTAATTTTCAGACTGTTTTCATGCAATAGAATTGAAGAGAAGAGTATTTCAACTTAAATTATGTGAACAAAAAAGATACTGAAGTTTTTTTTATCTATGCTTTTTTGGAAAGATAAAATAACATCCGCTTTCTTTTTTAGAGCAACAAACTGTATCCAACTATAACTTGACTGTAAAAAATAAATCATTATTAATTTACTGCTAATTTTGTCCGTTATCTGCCACTCATTTTCAACATCAGCCTCGCTCTGTTTAACTACCAGCAGTTTCACAATTTTGATGAATCGGTCAAATTCAATTACATAATTTGCCACTGAATTCTGCAATACAAAAAATAGTTCATACGTACAGTATAAAAGAGCTTCAAACAAAGAATTTTAATATCAAAATCTAATCTGTTTTTTAATTTTTTGTGAAACAGTACTTTATAGGTTATTCGTGGATTAACGTTTGCACCATTATCTACCAAATATCTGACCAGTTCAAAGTCTCCTCTTGCTGATGCCATTGATAATACAGATCCCTGATAGGCAGTACAAAGTCTTCACTGATAAACTATGCTTTCGATAAACATTTTGATAATTTGCCGAGAAAGTCTTCAATCAGACGAATGTCTGTCACATGACTACAGTAATAAAGCTCTACTCAATAACAGCATGATATACATTTTTCACAAAAAAATTGTTTAAAAGTCATGTTCTATTACCACAAAATGACCCTCTGCACTGACGTCGACTTCACGTCGGATATGGTGCTTTCCAGTTATAAGTTTTCCCTGCTGCCAACCGAACATTACCGGTATTTCCTGAAATCAAAAATAATTTTTTTGGTATTAATCGTTCTCTAACAACAAAAATTTTTTTCTCTTAATGTTTTTAGCTTTACAACTAGCATGACTAATGCGCCACTAGATGCAAGAAGCTCAAAATGTTTAATGAAATTTCTAGCTCGCTATAGAATAAGCAACAAATATCTCCATTTCTGTATCTGTCATTACATGTAGTTTAAAAAACTTTATTTGTTTTAGCCTCAAAGAAATCTTACCCAAAAAATGTCTTCTGAACTGATATCGACTTTGTTGCTGGTGAGGTACTTTACAACTGCATTATGACCATTGTAGGTGGCAATCCATAAAGGTGTTATCTAAAAAACTATGATTATGTCATCGTACTAAATTGCAGTTTTGAGTAATTCACTAACATGTTGCTGTTTCAAAAGATTTATTGTGCAAAAGTAAATACATATTAGTCGAGTGTCAATTTTTTTTATAAATTTCAATATTTCCAAAAGAGGAAAACTAAAATAAATTTGAACATGGAACCAGAATCCAATACTATTTGCGACTTGAGATTGGTAATGTTCCCTACACTAGAAACAATTTCCAACAAAAATTTCGCGCATTAAAAAGCAACAGTTTTATCTGATATCAGTACCGAGATCCCTTAATGATCGCGTTTCGTTGTGCGCCACTTTGAGAATGAAAAGTACCGCAAGAGTCTAATCAGTGTGTAAAAAGAGCTACATGTTCCCTCATCCACTGAACTTGTAAGCTTTTGCGCAATTAACCACCACCCTTCTTTGTCGAATAAAATTTATGCCAAAAAAAATAATTTTTTTATAAAAATTTGACGTAAAGCAATTCAAATGTCTTCTAAAAATTAGGCTTTGTATGTAATTTCCAACAAAAGCAGTAAAAGAGTTATTCGAGAAGAGGACAAGTAATAAGGTCAAGTATTTTAACGTTGAGGTTAGCCTGCCTAAAGTAAAAAAGTTCCTAAAACAAGCTTTCATGAGCAAATATTATAGTTAAATGGTAAAAATATTTTGGCGCCACTGCAGATAAGAGTTCCCAAACCCAAACACACTTTTTTGATTGCCAACCTTCATTTTTTATACAAGCTTTTTTACAATGCCTATATCGTTATAACAGTTTAAGAATTATCTATTGAAACCCTGCTAATTTAATGTCATTTTAATTCTAAAATGACGCGGTAACTCTCTTAATACTTTATTCTGCGATTTTCATGTTGGTAGGTGGCGCGGTGGGTGATGCGGACACTTGGTAGCAAAGATGACGCTCAAAACTACCCACCGGGCAGTTCCACTTATCACAGTCCTTACACATCTTGACTACTTTTGCCTGCTCAAAAAACCTGTTTAGTTACATGAAACTCAACAAACATCACTGAGTGAGTTTGTGTTTTAGAAAACCCATCTGGCTGCTTTTTAATTTAAAAGAATAGCCAAGATGTGAAAAGAAGCAATCTGTAGAAAAACTGCAACAGAAATGAAGGTGGGCGATTACAGATTATGAAAGATGAGATTTAGTTACGACAAGGTAATAGAGAACGAAAAATATTGAAAAAGATACAAAACAAGGTATAGCTGTCAGAATTCTGCAGCTCAATTTTATGTTATATCTCTGGCACAGTGAGAAGCAGGTTTCTAGAAAATAAGCTCACTTATTGCCCTTTGTTAAGTTCCATGTACGCAACTGAAAAGTTATGACTGAATAGGTTGCCTGAACAAACCAAGAAATTGCCCAGAAATATGAGGAATCCGACTGAATGTGGATGTGAACCCGTTTTAAACTCCTAGATTTTCAGTTACAAGATCAACGCACAGCCCACTGCACCGCCTTGCCGTGTCTCGGGGTAGTCAAAGAATTACAGCGACATTTCAGCATTAAACTGTTAAACAGTTGGCAAAAACTAAGTAGGAAATTCTGAAACTATCACAGATGAATAAAGCAAGGTCAAAAATCCTTAATGCGAAGAATGAATTGAACTTGACAATCAAAAATGGTGTGGGCTAGACTTCATTATCTGTCATGGTGCGAAAATTTTTAGAAGTAGAACTTTCCCAAATCACTTTCATTTTTTCTGTATATAGTAAGCCTTAACCTCAAGTTCATCTTTCACACTGATGTCGGCGCCTTCTTCAAGTAAGCATTCCACAACTTCCTTATGTCCATTAAAACATGCAACCCAGAATGGAGTTTGCTAAAACCGGAAATAGATGGTTCTATGATCTTCAAAAGTTTAAGTAAACAGCTGCACACAACAAACTTTACAGTGATATTTTTATTTATAAAAAAACTTTCAATTTTTTAACAACAAAAAAGCGGCTAAAAGAAACAACTGAATTCTATCATACTGCTTGCTAATAATTCTATATATACCCCGAAAGCGTTTTTTCCATTAACATCAGCGCCTTTTTTAGCTAAATACTCCACGACATCCACATGCCCATTGCCAGATGCAAGCCAAATTGGTGTATTCTATAGTCCAGAAAAAAATCTTATTTTAGAATATAGATTTCCTTTTCCAATCAACCCTATTTGATTCTTGTGACGCCACTAAAGTCCGCTAAGAAAAAACAAAGTAGAGCTACTTTACATATACGATAAACAGCAAAATAAAAGTTGCGGACAATTAAATTTAGTCTTTATAGCACTGTTTTTTTATGAACTAATGCTTTTTGCTTTAAAGAACGACCTATCAGGTAAAAAATTTGTTTTTCCCGGAAAACAGTGATTTGAATACAAGAGACGAAAGAATGAGGAAATACAACGAAAATTTAAAAAAAACAGAAATCAAACATTTTTCAATTTTGCCTTAAAAAACCACATACCCCATATTTATCTGTTGCACTAATGTCAGCTCCTTTGTGTACCAGAAGTTTTGCGATCTCTAAGCAACCGTTTTGGGCTGCCTTCTGTAATGCTGTGGTCTAAAAGCATCGAATGTGCGATCTTTTAGTGAAACTGGCTGATGAAGAAGTGAAGCAAGTAAAAAAACTATTAGAGACTATTCTTTCTTTTACATAGGTTGCGGCAGTAGATATATAGCAGTATAATAGGACGTACAATAGAGTACTATTAAATTGAATGATTTAATAGTTTGTTCAACGAGCAGATGCTCTAAGCACATTTTGAAATTAAGAAACGAAAGTTTTCTATGCTAGTTTTATTTGTTATTAAGTATTGTATTCTAAAAAAGTTAGCATGGTCGCATGCAGAAAATGATGAAGAAGTAAAAATACTATACGGAAGCACTTAAATTGACAAAATCACTTTTTTTTTTTGAGGAAGGTACCAACCAAATCTTCTTTTATATCACTAGCGAACTTTGAAACGCTATTTAACAAACTATGAACATTGTCGAAATCCTCTTCAATAACAAACTGGAACAGTTTTTGCTTGGAAGTATGATCCATCTGAAAAAAAAGACAGCTAAATAAAATAGTTTGCAGGAAAAAAAGGAGATTACTTATTGCTTTGTTAGCCAAAAAGTTTGAGGACTAAAATGAACAAAAACAAACAATAATAGAGAGTTACTGACTGCAACGGTTTCATAACGCTAATGGCTTATGATGAGTAATACGGTGTACCAGTAAGCATTAGCTGTAAAACGCTGTTCTCAACAGGAAACACGTCAAAAAGACATGCTTGAGTCACGTTATGAAACAGTTCAATTGTTAGTATCTTATCAGCAGTTTTATCAGCGTATACGTTCTTCCTTCCAAGAAAGCATTTACGGAAAAAGGTTTAAAGTATTGAGTATTGAATAACAAAGTCTGGGTTTTTTTT